ACGCGTGGTCCGTATCCGACGATGTACACTGGTCGACCGTGGACGATTCGTCAGTATGCTGGCTTCAGTACCGTGGAGGAGAGTAACAAGTTTTACCGCGACAACATCAAGGCCGGTCAGCAAGGATTGAGTGTTGCTTTCGATCTCGCCACTCACCGAGGGTATGGCAAAGGCTATGTTTTGCTGTTGCGTGGCATAGCATAACACTGTTGAATTTCAGGTATGATTCTGATAATCCTCGTGTCTTTGGTGACGTCGGAATGGCAGGCGTAGCCGTTGATTCAGTTGAAGACATGAAGGTGATTGACTTTTACTGATTTATTTATGTTCTTCATGCTGACGATGATAGTATAATTCTGATTAGTTAGACTTAATTGCAAGAGGAGGCAGGCAGCGTAATCTCTTTTTTAACAATCCTGCAAGGTATACACAAATGTGTTCAAGAAAAAAATTTTAATGGAAAATCATCAGATGTTTTTCAGATGTGTTATTAGTAGTGGTATTAATTCACTCATTGAATTTTTGTTTCTTCGAGCTCGGAAACAGCATAAAAATAAATTACAACAAACTTTTTACTCCTGTGAAAATTTTTAATCCTTTGTATTCACCACCTGAAGGGCCTCTTTCTCAAACGCTTTCTTTAAATGCTCCTGCTCTCTAGAAAGAAGACAGTTCGACTATTATGCGAATCTTACAGGGAAATTTACTGGTTTGGGTTATCCTCGTCGGCAGTGTTGAAAACTGTTTTTGGATAAGCCAGCATTTCTCTACCTTATGTCAGCTGCACTGTCCTAAGTTTTGGAAAGTTAAATCTTGTATTAAGTTATTCTTCAGACAGTCAGTGAGTCGGTTATGAAACACTGCTCATAACCTCCGAGCTCAAGTAATTCCGGTGTTACGTTCCGGCTCAAAGAGTTCGCGCCGATTGCCGGCTCCAGTCATTGTCTCATTAGTCTAATTCCGAAGACCCACAGTAAAATGGGTCAGCGCAACTCTGACCCCAAAGTTCTTTACCTGCGACGATACCCTTTCTGCCCTGCAGAAGTCCAAGAAATGCAGGGCGTCTTCATGACAACAGACTGATCGGTTTTTGATGGCCCACCACTGAACTACCAAACAGAAGCAATTACCTCCTGGGTTAACGTTGTGTGACAACTGTTGCCCTTTCCATGAGGTTATAGTCAATTAAAAGTTCGTGATAATGCTTGTAATAAAACACTTGCGCCGTCTGAGCGAGAAAGCCTATCGCGTAGGCGACATATTATACTAGTGTTTTTGGAATCAAACCGGAAAACGAGGAAATCCAGAGGTTGCATTTCAAACATTTATTCGTTGACGACCTTCATAACCTAAACATGTTCATCCTTCGGTTTGAATGTGATTCAGCGGAGACGTTTTCTTGCTAGAAGGATTTGCCAACTATCGCCATTCCAGGCTGTAACAGTAACCTACGATGATTTTCAGGTGAGGCATATTCTCGTCTCCTTCAGGTCAAACAGCACTCCTGGGACACAGGATCGTGGCAAAAGTGCTAGTGCCGTGTAAAACGGAAGTGAGTGGCGTGTTGTGCAATTTGTTGAATAACGTTCTGCGTTCTGAAGTTATTCTGGATTGTTGACGGACATTCAGAACTACTCCTATTCCAAAGACGGCTGCTACCACAAAACCAGAAAACTTTCGTTCATTCACCTTAACCTCTGTGTTGCTTAAAGCATAGGAGGCCCTCTCTCGGCCGGTGCTTCTCATTTAACTTAAAGGAGCGCAAAATGTAGTTGACAATTCGCTTTTACGCGGGGCCGCTTCACCCTAAATAATCTAACCGGCTGTATTGACTTGCTAGCCTCTGCACTTTACTATTGCAGCTTCTCTGCGAATGCTGTCTTCTTTGACATCTCAGCGAAATCACTATATGCCTTGGATCATACTAAGTAATAAACTGGACTCGTTTGACCATCTGATCTTAGTGTTCGCAAAGGTACGTAGGGTATGTTGCTAGCTTTCTTTCGAG